GCTTGTCATGTTCATTGTACTCACTCGTGTTGAGTTAAAAATTTCTGTGTTCATTGAAAAACGTGCGGTTCACTTTTACACGGAGCACCATTTTATATCTGCTTGGCATATTGAACTGGTTACTGGTAGCGAACACTTGAAGATGAGACTAGAAAATATTAAGAGTATATGCAGGACTAACGCTAGTTTACGAGACTTGAAATATTAGAGTATACGTTTAAGAACACTCATCTTTTCTACGGGTTTCCCTAGTAGAACGGCAGATATAGCATTGTCCCATTTTACTTTTTTATTTATTTTGTGCAGTGTGCTTCTTTGCATATTCTTCGATCATTCCTTAAGCAGTGTTATTTGCATTCATTCTATTATGCCTGCATTCTTAATATCTTTCTTGTGCTGCTGCATTCAGGGTTGAGCAATATATCTGGAGACTAGCCTCCGTTAGGTGAGTAAGCATTGTGCATGCACCCTGCTCACTATGTTTATCTCAATTATATTGCTGAATGCTTAATCATTCCTGTTATTTGCAGCAGATTAGTGCTTGTTTTTATGTAGAGAAGTCAATTGAATGGCATAGCGCCTTTTGTTTTGTTTTCTATTAGTTTTATTTAAAATGGTTCGAACAAATGATTTAGTATTCTCTTATGTAAACTTTCAGCCCTTATAGGCATCTGTTCACATGAAATTTCGCATGTGCATTATATTACTAAAACACATTTTTTAAAATTGTATATTTTTATATCTAATTCTTGAAGATGATTCATGAAATATGAATTCCGTAGTAATAAAAAAATTAAAAGGCATTGTACATAATACCTATAACTAGCTGGGAATGTATGAAATTATTCATATTTCATACATTTCCTAGGAATACCAAATGAGAAACAGGCAAAGCATGAAATACATTTTTGATTCATTTTGAAGAACCTAAACTACTTACTAGAAGTTAATAAATCATGTATGAAAACCCAAATGACTACTAAGAAGGAACCATGGGACTAATGGTTCCTGAATCGCTAAGATGTGTATTTGTGGAAAAGAAAAGTACATTGATTTATCATTTTAAAGGAAGCGTCAATACTGTACAGTACTACGTTGCGGATGCCGAGTTATTTCCCGTACTTCATGAAAACTCATTTGAGTACTGGACATGGGCGAAGCGACAGAATGTTGAAAGAACTTTCAACCAAATACAAAAACATTGCACATAAATGATACTGAACTGTACAACCACCTTTGTGAGCTCTGCCGGAAAAAAAAAAAAGTTATTAATAAAGGGCATTGTTGTGAAACTTATGACTATTTCTGAAATTAATTTCCGTTGTCAGGTAGATTGTTGTCTTACTGATTCCCAGTCTCGACCAGATAAAAAATACAAATTTATAATGTTGTATCAAATTCATCTCGCTACTTTTTTACGTATTTTGAATGACAGATTTTTAATGGGACTCTTTCATTACTTTTTCAAAATAACATTTGTACTTTTGAGGAATGAACATCTTTTAATAAAGAGCATTTGTCATTCTATAGAATGTTTATGCATTATACACAAAGCCTAGGCAAAATATGTAATTCTTCAGATGATATAATTTATTTCTTCAGGTAATATAATTTAATTCTTGAGATGATATCATTTTTATGCATTCCGAGTTATAAAATGAATGAAATGTAACGCTGTTAAGTGAAACTAGCTCCAGGGTGTCTCTATGGTAAATAAATACAGTGAATTTTAAAGAATGCATTTATTCTATTTTGCTTTATGCGCTATCGACGAAGTAGGTTTAATTTAATTTTAGGTTAAGTATAAATGGAATGCAAGAAAAATGTGCATAATTTAATATTTACAAGGAAGCAATGTGGTGTACACATCAGACTCCTTTGAAATGCCCGAAAAATATCCATCCATCTTCTCAGTATTTATTTTCCCAAATAATCCCGTTCCAAATTTTCAAACTAGTTAGCCAAAAAGCCTTTGCAATCATCAACTTAATCAATTATCAAAAGGATGATCCATGCTTATTGCGTTATTTGCGGGAACTTCATTAATGCTTTCACCTTGTTTAAAATTTTTGTATTCGTCTGCGAGACTATCTGCACAGTCGTAAAGCGTTACCATGGTTACCAGTTTTTGCTTTACCATTGTTATTGTTAAAAATAAAATAAAATGGCTGTTCTAAAGCTTCAAAGTTGTGTTTTAATTGTTTATTTAGACAACATTTTTTAATTACACCTGAAGCTTCAATTTCAGACCATGTTAATTCACTGCTGTATATCCATATAAGAGGTTCTGCTCCATCAAAACTTCTTTCTGTGCCTTAGTGTAATAATGAATGCATTGTAGAATGTTGTAAGCTCTTTTAGGCTTGTATTAATATCATTTGAGTGTATTCTGGACTTTTAAAATTTAAACACATAAGTGGAAAAATATGAATAACTGGCTGAGAGGCAGGCACCGCATCGCCAGACGAGATCATTTCTAGTCAAAAGAGGACTTCTGGTAAGCCTAATGATATTCCAAGTTTTCTCGCAGTATCTCTATATTTAGCTTCTCAGCTAATATCTTAATTTTCTGTCATAAGCAAAGTTAATAATTTAAATAACAATATTAACAATGTTCCATTATGTAACAGTGTTTCATTATGTAACACTGTTCCGTTAACAATGTTCCGTTAGCAATTTTCTGTTAATAACGTTTTGTTCTTTCTATTTAAATGAATGAATGAGTATTTATTTAAATTTTGATTAAATATTTATTTGAATCTCCTTTGAATTTAGGTGAAACTGTTGTTGGAATGGGAAGGTCGTCAAGCTCGTATCGTCCGCCCAGATGTGTAAACTGTCAATGGCGCCCTACACATGATTTGATCGTGTAATGATGATGAGGCGTGATCTTACCAAATCAGGTGCTCCCATTGGTCCACCTAGCAATGGCTTCTTATCCATCATTCCAGCATTTTTGCAGTCACCATCTTTTTCTGAAGACCAACACATCATAGAAAGAATAAAGGAAAACATAAAAAGGCAACGAAAACTGCTGTCAAACACTTACTGTGGTTAAGAGAAAAAAAGAAAGTTTCTCCCCCCCCCCCCCCCCAAAAAAAAAACTCTCTGAAAAGTGCATTTTAGAAGAAGAGGCGATTTCTGTGCAGTGTTGTGTTCTTTCATTGTGCAGGAACGTGAACCTTCAGACCAATACCAGAAAATGTATTACAAATTCACGAACTGAAGTGTAAAAAAATGTATGTTTTGGGGTAGGGTATGAATAATTCTGAAATTTGCTTATAATTCAAAGAAAGCCAGTGAAGTGACACCATGGACAATTTTTTGAGAGCTTTTAGATAGAATTTATCAAAACATGTTAAATGGTGAAGAGTAAAATTTATTGCAACATCTAAACTCATTTTTTAATTACAGTACTGAACACGAAATTTGCTGTCAATGTACAGCTGTTCTTAGTTCTATCTATAAAAGGTGAAAGTACCATTCCTGAATACTTGGGATTTTAGAGAAATAATCCACAAAACCTCTACTATGTTTCTTCTCTACTTTACAAAACTTTGTTATTGTATATTAATCTAACACAAAAATTGTTTAAGAAATTTATTTATTCATAATGAAGCGATACACAGATTGAAGTGTGTCAAAAACTATTTAAAGTATATTTATTTATTAATAATAACAAATTCTATGTTTTGTGGAATACAATCATTAGAGTCATAGTTTGCTTATTACAAATGGCATCACACAACTGCTTCAAAAACTACTTAGTTGTAGATTGAAAATTATTTGAAAACAAAGGGATTGTATATATTACATATATAGTATGCCCATATTATACTTATAAATTATATTAATTAATTCAGACATTCATTGAGTTAAAAGTACATGAGAATATATCTTATTCAGTTCTACTTTTAAAATCTTTGCTGGCAAAACTGATTCAAATTAATGAATTAAATCTGTTTTGCGAGACCATTTTGTTTAATGTAATTTCTTACTTATGTATTGTACTAAAGCTGTTCCCCTAAAAAAATACTGTTATGCTTATGATGCTGAATCATATTATTTGCAATAATATTATTATTACTAATGTAGAAAGATATTTTTATGTATGTATATACGTGTGTGACGAAGAAACACACCTTTGTTGAAATGCTTCATAACACACACTGCTGTTTTGTCAGTTTGTAGTAATATATGCTTGAATGTTAATGTTTGACCAATGTATGAAAATGTAAATCTTACCAATGTATGGAAATATTTAAATTGTTGGATATAAATGAAAGGACCACTTTGGTTCACAAAATGCTACAGCAGAAAAAAAAAATTGTGACTTGCTTTAGTTTTTCTTATTTTTGTGCCCAGTTGGAATAGGTGGCACTATATGGGTGCTATGATTCCGTAGTATGTTGTATTATTATGGTTACTATTTTATTACAAAAACCGTTAATGATTATTTTTGCAGCAGCACACAATAAAGCATTTGCTGTATTAGATGTGAACAAAACTTTGTTGTGGTCTTCGTCCTCCCCCTTATTGTGAATTAACGAGACTGTCAATCCAGAATTTTAATAAGAATTATTTGGAAAACGACATTTCCTTAATTTTTTTAACTTGTTTTACAATTGATAATTTACCAATTTCATGATTGAATATGGACTTTTTTCCTACTAAATGAATTCGGAAAATTCTGATTTAAATTACATGTTTCTAAACCATTTACTGTTATGTAATAAATGAATTATTCTTTTTCATCTAATGATAGAACTTCCAAGGTTTCTAATCTGCAAAATTTATATAAATACATATTTCTTTTTCTGATGCATATAAAACTTTCCGGCTCATATTAGCATTTTAAAACAAAAAAACTAAATTAAATAAACTAGTAATTTTTAAATAGTTTTTTTAAAGCTGAAATTCAGATTTTTTTTAAACAAAAATAAAATAAATATAAAACATGAAATAAAGATTTAAGGGGAAAAAATGGCAAATAAAGCTACTAGAAATATTTAAAAGTAACTTTAAACATTTAACTTTTAGAATTTTAAGATAAAATATTTAAGACAAATACGCTTACTGTAATTTTTAAATTGTGTAAATTTACTTGCTTGAATTTTGACCCTTTTAAATTAAACAAAAACACATATTAAAAATATAAACAAAAATATTAAAATACAAAAGCACAAAATAAAACATGTTACAATTTAAACATTGCAGGGATTGTTTTGTTTGAATTTTAGTATTTTAAACTAAAACTTTTCAAACAAAAATAAAATAAATATAAAACATGAAATAAAGATTTAAGGGGAAAAAATGGCAAATAAAGCTACTAGAAATATTTAAATGTAACTGTAAGCATTTAACTTTTAGAATTTTAAGATAAAATAAGACAAGTATGCTTACTGTAATTTTTAAATTGTGTAAATTTACTTGCTTGAATTTTGACCCTTTTAAATTAAACAAAAACACATATTAAAAATATAAACAAACATATTAAAATACAAAAGCACAAAATAATGCATGTTACAATTTAAACATTGTAGGCATTTTTTGTTTGAATTTTAGTATTTTAAACTAAAACTTAAACAGCAAAATTGCACACTTTGAATTTATCTGTTTTGATGAAAATTGCAGACGAATTCTAAATGTTCTGTGAGTTGGTTCAGTAAGTAATATCAGTGACAGCTATGGAAAATACAAATATATGGAAAATACAAAAAATATTAACTAACACAAAATTGATCAAAATATTCAAACGAGAAACTTAAATTTTTGAATCAGTTTATGTATTTAATTTGTCAATATTTAGCCTTTTAATTAGGATAGCTCCCAAAGCCTTTCTCCTCTCCTTACATAAAACAGTCTTGGCACTGGAGTATGCCGGTATTTTAGTAATAAAATCATAACCTTTTTGATATAATTCTGAAAGTAGTTTTGGAAATATATGGGGAACGGGAACTGATTTTTTTTTGGGGGGGGGGACTTTTCTTCTGCAAGTCTCTAACTTCCTTTTAACTTCGTTCTCAGTAATGTTGGGCACGCAGAAATGTACTTCGTATATGTACTTTCTTCAGTACTTTGTATTGAAAATTTCTCTTTACATTTCCTTTACAACGATGTGTCTTTTCTTTTACACATACCCAACTCATTCCTAATTTATTTTTTCGGTGTGGGTAATCATCTACAACTAAACATTCTTTTTTTGTAGAGAGTAATTTTTTTAAAATGGCTATGGGTTCCATCGCAGATTTTTTTTCGACGCTAAAAAAGACATACATGCTTCATAAGGATCAAACATCGACTGAGAAAATGAGAAAGACATTTTCTATTATAAGTATCGGCTTTTCTCTACAGCAGGTGCAAAGCTTGAAACTACACAATAGATGACATATGACTGATTAGGAAAACAACACAATAAGTGCGAGAATGTCCGCTCTGTCCACCTAGCTACTCTCACGTGTCCGCTGTAGCCACTGTCCGCTCTGACCGCGTAACCAACCAATACAACCACCAAGAACCGGCTCAGTGTGCGCAGGTGAAACAGAAATATCAAACTTCCATCCTGGATCCTGGTATGTCTGAAAAACTTAAAGGAAGACAAGCCTAAGATACTAATTCTGAAATGCATATTATTTTAAAAGATAACAAACCTATATCTCTGATACCCAGAAGATATAAGAGATAAAGAAAGTGTTCAACTAAAACAAGTAAAATCTATTTTACAATTGGATTTGGATGTTCATGAAGAACAAGTTATGTCTTTGGAAAGAAAACTTTCCGTATCAGACTGTAGAAATTTTACAGAAACAACTATTAGATGCCAAGAATGAAATAGAAGCTGCGAAAATACAAATGTTTAAGGTACAAGAAGAAAATAAGAAAACATATAACTTTCGAAGACGTTCTTCAAAATGTTATGAAATTAATGATTTAGTAGCAATCACCAAAGATAAAATCCTGTCTGAGAAAGAAAATAAAGTTCAAAATGTTAAACTGAACATGCAAGAAATGCTAGCTTTAGAAAAAGATTGCATGAGGGAAATTATGGAGAAGAGATTATTTGCTAAACAAGCAGAATTAGAAAGAAAAATGTGTATCACTCATGAAGATATCAGAATTATATCAGAAAGGTTGTCGTCAGTTGCGAGAAATTCTTAATGCTGATGATTGGGAACATTAGGGAGACCTGTGTGGTGCTGATGCTGTTCCAACGCCATCTAGTGCGACTTCAACATCAATTTACAAAGCAACTAAACATAAGACAACGTCACAGAAGAGGCGTTTCTTGAAGAATCTTCTGTCCCCAAAAGAAGACTTTCTAAAGCAATATCAGCTGTTAATTTTATATCTGAAGTAAGCAAACAAAATGCTTTTAATTTTCAAGCAAATACTGATTATACTTCTGGAAAAGAAATAATTGACGCAGAAATTCAAAATAGTTTTGAAACTTACGGAGAAGAGCTTCGAAAAGATGCGAAAATACAAATGTTTAAGGTACAAGAAGAAAATAAGAAAACATATAACTTTCGAAGACGTTCTTCAAAATGTTATGAAATTAATGATTTAGTAGCAATCAAAAGGACGCAATTTGGACCAATAAGTTAAAATCAAAGTATTTAGGCTCGTATAAGATTGTCAAAATAAAGAATAATGACTCCTATGATGTTGTAAAAGAAGGAGATCATGAAGGACCCACTAAAACAAGTACATGCGCTGAATACATAAAACAATGGACTCAAGCAGAAGAAGATGAATAAAATAATACTGATTATGACGTTCTTAACCTGAAGTGATACAACTGATAACCGAACTGTGAGTTTCCACCTAATAATGACTTTTATTTCAGTAAATGCTATTTTTAAGATGAAATGAACATTTCCAAAACTGTTAAAGATTGAAGATATTTTTCGTTTTAGATGAAATATAGAAGGGACTGTCGACGATGTTATTGTGCAAAGATGAAGGACAATTAAGATGTTTCCTTTCAATATTGTCCTTAGCACACAATCTTCCCCTCTCCCTTCGTACTTCTTTTCAGGTTTCGGCTTATTTACGATGATGGTTCTTTTTATGATGTCAAGAGTAGAATAATGTCGTCGAGGTCGACGCATAGCAGGAACCCGAATGTGGGATACTAAATCCATAGTTTAACAATTTTCTTCGCGAGCTGTCTAATTTTTAGCTGTTGACTGCACGAGTGAAATTGATAGAACTTTGAACACTTTGTTTTATGAGAGGAGATGTAAGATGTTGTTTTATAGATATAAGGTGTTATAGATGTTGTGTTAATAAATGAACGATATTATACAGTCGGTAGATGGAGCAAAATGACAAAAACCTAATCCAGAAATCTTTTTTTTTTTTTTTTTTTTTTTTCCCTTTCTGAATATTTCTGAAAATCATGTCTCTATTTTTTGAGAAATAAATAAATAATAAAATTCAATTAAAAATTTTTACTTGAGATGAAATCAGAATGGCTTTCTAGTGAACAAATGTGAACAAATTTTCAACGAAAGAAGTACTCAGCAATAAGTACTACAACAACTTTTTCAAATTTAGTTTTCCAATTAGGAACACAAGATAGAGTAAAAAGTGGATTTCTTGTAAGATTTCATTTCTTTTTCTTGGAAAAAGTAGGAAATTACGTAATTTTGGAAACTTCCTCAATTGCTTTGAATGAAAAATTCTTCAATTCATATGCAGCCATTCTCAGCTTAATTGCTCATAGCAATCACAGCAGATTACGTTTTATGCTTTCTATAGATTTCTGTAGTGCAGTGGATTTACATTTTACTTTTGTTATTTAAAATTCATTTCCGTACATTGGAATCAAAATATTGAGAATGAATAATTTAAAATGCGAGCGTCCAAAATTCGTTTGCGAAGATTTTTCAGAAGTTGACGAGTTCCATCGACATGTGGCAACAATTCGCATTTCATTTTCTTTTATCGTTTGCAGATATATTAATTTTTAATGAATAAAGAATTTTTCCTTTGGAGATTTCCCAAAATAGCGATTCTTATCGCAAAGAATCTGCGTGAAATTTTGTCCTCGCAATGGAAATCCGCTAGGTAAGTTTTTGAAACTTTGTAAAATGCTTTTGAAGGCAATATTTTATTCAGCGTAAGAGATTTTGAGTAGTGTAAGATGTTTAATGAAGGGATAGAATACATCGAAGACGAAACTCGCTTTGTTAGATCATTTACTTTAAATAACTGAGTGTCGATCAAGTCGAAGATTTGCTTAGCGATCATCGTTCAATAAATTGGGATATTATTAAAGAAATTTTCATATCATCTAGACCTGTCAAGCTTTTGAACTTTAGTTCATCGCTTGTTCAAAATACAGTAACATGTCTCAGAAACATATCCTTCTTAAAATATAAGAATATTGCTGGTAATGGAATGTAGATTAATGTAATTAATGCTTACTATACCTGAAATTTGATTTAAGGATTTAACTAAAGAATTTGTATTATGGAAGGGAAAACAATCCGAAAGTATTTATAAATATTTTATTTGGTAATGATGTAGTATGCAAACTACCACTTTTTGTTACTTTTTTCTCAAATAGTGCGATTAAAATTCTAATTTTTAGTATAAAAATAAATGCAATTAAGAGTACATAAATGAATATAATTCCATTACTAATTTAAAAACATATTAAATTTTTAATGTCATTGCATTGATATTTCCATTGCTTTATAAAAAAATCGAATGTGTATTATTACCACATGACTTCCTTGTACGATTTGTTTTTGCTGCATTTAATTTAAACTTATTTCCTCGAATTTCATTAGATATATATTTCTCATTCAGTTAATTCAGTTCACACTTCGTGGCAAGGCAAAAATACATAAAACATCAAAATAACTTTATTAAAATTGAAAAATATAGTCTCTACATAGTATAATAAAAGAAAGAGTCTGTCTGTGTGTGTGCGTGTCTTTCGTTCGCGCTGCACGTAAGCTAATAGACTCACGGCTACGAAATTTGGTAGATAGGTGCATTTAGACAAGAGCCAGTGCACCTCGAAGCGATTTTTTTCGAAATTCGAATTAAAAATTTTTTTATTTTATGTTTTGTGACGAAATCGCGTCATTTTGAGACATAATGGCCTATAGGAAACGAGATTTTACTCTGCACACTCCATTTTCACATCGTCATGAAATGTAGGCACTTAACTATTTTACGAACTTAAAATAAATTGATCAGGAATAGGATAAGCTTCAGGCCACTTGGTGAAGTAATCAACGACAACGAGTATGTATTTGTTGCCATCAGCAGTTCGTGGCAGAGGTCCCAGGATGTCAAAGGCGATTCGTTCAAAAGGCGCCCCTACGTTGTAACGTTGCAGCTTGCCTCGGCTGCGTCTCTTAGGTCCTTTCCGACCTGCACAGGCATCGCAAGATCGGCACCACTTTTGCACGTCATCCTTTGCATTATTCCAGTAAAAGCGCTCACGAACTCTCTGTAAGGTCTTCATTATTCCAAAGTGACCTCCCGTAGGGCTGTTATGTAGTTCTTTAAGGACATCAGGATTGCGGGATCTTGGAAGTATCAGCTGCCATCGGAACGTCTTCCCATCATCCGATTCGAATTTCCGGTATAAGACGCCGTTTCGAATGTGAAGTGAATCCCAGAGTGCCCAATATTGTTTGGTTGTAGGACTACAGATAGAAATGTCCTGCCAGGTAGGTTTTCTGTTTGACGACTCCATTAGATCAATTATGGGTTTAATGTCGCGGTCTTCCAGCTGGTCTTTCCTGACTTCATCATCACTCCACGGTTCTCGATCAGCCGATGTTGATGTTGTAATTTGTCTTGCGACCGGAGTCAGCAGCAGCAGCTCGTATTTCGCTTCCACCCTGGAACAATATCGACAGTTTTCTTGGCAAGGTCTTCTAGACAGGGCGTCGGCGTTTCCGTGTGATGATCCCTTACGATGACGGATAGTGATGTCATATTCTTGGAGTCTCTGTATCCACCTGGCTATTTGACCCTCAGGATTCTTGAAATTTAAAAGCCAGGTCAATGATGCATGATCGGTGCGGAGCAGAAATTTTCTGCCGTATAGATAGTGATGGAACTGTTCTACAGCTTTGACTATGGCGAGCAACTCTTTCCTGGTGACACAATAATAATCCTCTCCGGTTTAGACAGGCACTTGCTCCAGTACGCCACTACACGTTCTTGGCCGTCTGTTTCTTGGGACAAAACAGCACCGACACTTTCATTGCTCGCGTCGGTGTCGAGAATAAATGGTCGGTCGTGCTGAGGATACGTCAGGATTGGAGCAGATGTTAAAGCCTCCTTTAAGTTGTTAAATGCATCGTCGCATTCTTTTGTCCACAAGAACTTTTGGTTGCTCTCTGTGAGCTTGTGAAGGGGTCTTGCGATGGAAGAAAAGTCCTTCACGAATCTCCTATAGTAGGTGCAAAGCCCTAGAAAGCTTCTCAGCTGATGGACATTTTCGGGACGTTTCCAGGATTTAACCGCTGATACCTTTTCAGGATCCGTGCGCACACCTTCTGCAGAGATGACATGTCCCAGGTAAGTCACTTCCTTTCGGAACAATTTGCATTTAGCGGGACTCAGCTTTAGATTGGCTTCTTTCAGTTTCTGAAGCACCTTTCTAAGATTTTCTAGATGCTCTTCAAAACTCTTTCCGACGATGATGATATCGTCCAGGTATATCAGACAGGCTTCATAGGAAAGTCTTTTCTCGGTCATGAAGGTGTATTTCTACCTGCCAATACCCACTCTTTAAATCAAGCGTTGAGAACCACTTGCTTCCAGAAAGAGTGTCTAGAATGTCGTCAATTCTAGGAAGAGGGTAACTGTCTTTCATCGTAACCTCATTCAACCGGCGATAGTCAACGCAAAATCTTGTTGAGCCGTCTTTCTTTCTGACGAGAACGATGGGAGATGCCCATGGACTTGTTGAAGGCTCGATGACATCGCCTTCTTCCATATCTTTTAACAGTGTTCGCACCTCTTCCTGTTTAGCAAACGGCAGACGCCTTGGATGTTGCTTGATCGGGCGATGATCGCCGGTATCTATTCTATGTTGTGTCAAACTAGTTCGACCCACGTCAGAAGACGAGCGGGAAAAAAACAACTTGAAGATCTTTAATAACGCGATCGGCAGCATTCTTCTCTTCATCGTTTAATTGCGCATTCTGCAATAACTCCGATGTAATTCTCTCTGAGGACACGGATTCTTGGATGTTACTCTTTCTTTCAACGGTGGTTACTGGAGTACATGCTGCAACCACTTCACCTTTCTTAATAATTCTCCCCTTCTCAGTTACATTGGCGACTCTCACCGGGATAACCGTTCTGGATAGGTCGACGAGTGTTGAGGCTACTAGTACTCCTTTTGGGCTATTACAGTTATTGGGATATTCTATGACGCCGTAGCGGAAATTTCTGTTTTCGGCTATGGATCCAGGAAGTAAAATTTCTGTTCTTGCCGGTATTGTGATATTGTCTTGTGCTATGATTTTATGGACAGATTTAACTTCATCATTGACTCCAAATAACGCTATGTCCTCAGATGTAGAATGCAATTCGTTATTTTTAAAGTCCAAGGAAAAATTGTATTTCCTTAGAAAGTCCAATCCGAGTATGCAAGAATCAGTGATCTCTGCTACATATGCCATGTGATGGTAAGCGGCACTTCCAAACGTGATGTTAGCATTTACTTTTCCATCGATGTTGATCTTCTCACCGGACACAGTCTGTAGGGTAACGCAGGGCGGCGTCCAGATAAGTTTGCTTCCCAGTTGTTGAGCCAAATCTTTTCGGATGATGGTAACGTTGGCTCCTGTATCTATCGTCATATTGCAGGGAACTCCATTAATATGTCCTATTATGAAAAGTCCATTACTGCCGGCTCTCACTGCAGAAATCTGAAGCGCTTTAAACTGGGGCTTTTCATGATCTGGCAACCTCCGCCCCGCGAGATGGCCACTAATTAGCTTCCCTGCTGTTTGTTAGGAGCGGTCTTAGCATCCGTGCCCTGGGGTGTTCTGCAGTTTCGTCGGATGTGTCCTTCAGCACCGCAGTTCCAGCACTTTACGGTCGGTTTCTTGTCACCAATATTCTGACTCAAGGCGTTCAGTTGTCTAGTTAAATCGTCTAGACGAGCAGTGACTTGATCCCCTGGCTCCTGGACTTGAGCAGCTCTGACTGGATGGCGGTCTCGACGGGTGGCTTGCTGGGCTGCCTCAAATTTCATGGCATACACTAAAGCGCTTTTCAGATCTTTAACATCCGCCATTCGCAGTGCTTTCTGTATTTCAGG